GTACTTCAAGCTGATGTAGATCTTTTATAAATTAAGCTTTAAGATCTGGACCTTAGGATTTTTTAAAAAGGAAGATGATGTCTTAGTCCTTAATTTTTTAGCTAAAAAGAGAGTTGTTGTGAAGAGCTCCCTGTGTTTCATTGTTTTATGCTTACTTTTGGCAATGGCATAGGGTTAAGCTGAAGAGCTTGGTTGCTTTTGAATAGGATTTGTTGGTTTATTTTCATTTCAAAAGGGAGCACCAAGCTGAATCTTTTAATTTTGGCCTTTTATGGGCCTCGGTTCGTAGGTGTAAAGGGAGAAGTCAAAATCTTTTGTTGACATTTTAGCAAAAACAAGTTGAGAGTTAAAAAAAATAAAAATAAAAATTAAGACCTTATGAGGTTATCTTACATCTACCCTAATACTTGAACTTGTTTACCACTTTAAAGGAAGTCAACTCGTAGGTATTTATGACCAATTCCTCTCTTCGGGTGTAGTCCATTATTTTATTCCATTTTATAAGGTCTAAGATGGAAAGAGCAACATGCATATCAATAAAATTTTTGGGCTCATTTATGATCTCCCATGCCTCTAACTTACCGTCTTAATTTTTCTTTTCCTTCTAAAGGCAAAAGAAAGCAACTTCTAGTTTTTTATTGAATTTGGGTAATTTGTAAACAATTTTTTATTGGGTCGAGCTGTGATGTAAAACCAAATTTTATCACTAGGGTATTTTTTGACAGAAAAAATTTACTAAATAGAGGAGGTCGGGAGAAATACCTAACTATTGGCAAAAATTATAAATCCAACTATGTACTAAAATGAGTTAGGGGTAAGCTAAGTGATTGTTAAATTATAAGAATTAAAAATTTCAACAAATAAAAAAAAGCAAGGGGAACCTAGAAATGACTACCACAGAATCCCAATACACTTAGAGCTGATGAGGCTTTACTTTATCGATGACATGATCTAAAGTGCTTGGCATCAATATACTATACCCCTCATTTGGAAAGTGAAAGTTCACTCATAGAGAACAGATGTGATGAGCTAAACACATATTAGGGCAATCCTTGGGGTTAGCCCTTCTTTTTAAGATCTTTATCACATCTTTAAAGATTATGCCTAAGGAACATGAGGTATAAATTGGGACCTCGACTAGCTCATCTATCTTCGATGAGAACTCTCCCTCACATTTACCTTCTTCAGTCAAGTTATCCTCAATCACTTGATCCTTTTCAGAAACCTACTTGTTGTCAGAGTCTTTTATCGACAGAAGACTCAAACTCCAGAGTAAAAGCTGGATTTTGAGTTTGAACAGCATGGAGAGCACCACAATATCGAAAAAAAAAAGATGAAGAGTTTTTTCAAAAGAAAAAGAAATGTCGATAGTAGTTGATTGAAAAGGAAGAGAGAAAAGAATAAGAGCATCAATGACAAAAGGTAGAGGAACAAAAAAGAAAAAAAATTGATGAGACTGAAACCCAGAATAAGGAACATCCAAAGAGGTAAAAAAGTCAATCATAGAAGACAAATCAACCTGGGAGATTGGAAAAGGAATATGAGGATTCTCTAAATCAAAATCTATTTGAGTGCATAGCTCATTCATATATAGGACCCATTCTTCTCGAGCCTAAAAATTCTCATCAACTTTTTACTATTCTTTCTCAAACAATGGGTTGAACCAGTAGCCTCGACCTCTGATGATCAATAGAACTAGATTGTCATCATCATGCCTGAGCCAACCTTCTCTTGGCTCTACCCTTAAACTTTTTTTACCCTCGAAACTAGCACCAGTAGACATGATGAAAAGAATACATACTAAAGTAAAATGAAAGAATGATTGGAAAAAAAATTGTAAGGTTAAAAGAAGACTGAAAAGCTCTTAGGTTAGAAAATTTAGGTCGGATTGAGAGCAAAAAAGTAAAAATATGAAAAATAAAGATCCCAACAATCGTTATATAGCTTCCTCCCAAATTAAATGAACAACCCAAATCATGCCACATGTTAGGATATCATTGGAGAGTGTCTTTTCACCTCTATTGCTTTGAATTTTATCACCCAAACAACCACTTTCTTTATTGAATACGATTTTAACTACTTAAACTAGTATGACCGGCCAACTAGACAAAACCCTAGATTGAATCGATTTTGTGAACCAAGCGCTAAGTCACCTCCAAAGAGTAATCAAGGATTCGAGTTCCTGGAAACATTAAGCCTCACATCGACTAGACAAACTTCATCAGCTTACCTAAACCCCCTCGTCTTCACCTCGGACCATCCAAGGTAGAGCCACTTTGGCAACCCTTAAAAAGACCATATACCTAACCTAAAGCACACACGCAAGATTAAACTTATACCAGGTCAACATATACCAAGACAGCCCAAATTAAGCTGAATAACAAGAATAGGCCCTTGATGTTTACCTATCACATAGGTTTCGTGAATGTTTGACCACCTAAAGAGGTCAAATCCCTGGCAATCCTTTTAAGCCCACAAATATATACAAAACAAATCAATCTCATACCTAACACTCTGATACTTAGACTGTTTGGTTGGGGGATAGAATGTTGTGGGCATTTAGTAGTCAAAAAGATATTGTGATCTTTTCTCCTATTAGAGGTTGCCAATAGATAGCTAAGGGCATTTCAGACATTTGAACTGACCTGACTTGACATGTTTAATGCTACATTAGCTCAGCCACGTCATTATTGTTCCCTACAAGTCCCTCACCCCTGCCTATAAATATAAACATCCAGTATTACCATTTCAGGTGCCATCTTATTCTAATTCCTTATTTTTCTCTCTTGTCAACCTCCTTATCTTGATCTTTTATATGCGCGTTAGGGTGCAAATGTAGGAAACATTCCTTGCCTTTACATCTAATCGTTTTTTACCTTTTCTTACCTTTCCATGAATATCCTTAGATCAAAGCTCGGCACAAACAATTTTATTTAATTTGTTTTAAATATAAAAAATTAAGAATTTAAAATATAATTTAACTTAAATATATTTTAATATTTGATTAATTCAAAGATCAATCGAATTATGTTCAATTAATTAGGCTTTTAAATTAATAAATTTAATTCGATTAATAAAAATAAAATAACATAATTTAATTAATTAATTGTAAATAATTCTTCAAAAATTAACTATCAATAAAATGAACACCGATAAACTTGGAATCATATTTGGCGTTGGTTAAGGGCGGTGGTGGCAAATCCAATCTTGGCCAAGATAATCTTTCCAACAATTTAACAATTTGGGATGTCATTTTAGACATGTGCTAATCCACTCATAAAAAAATACTACTTATCTGACAAATAAGTGCATAACTTATTGTGTAAATTCATCTTAAGGCTATTCTTTATACATTCTCTCCTGACTGCACTTTTGATAACTGATGGAAGAAGCACTTGGCAAATTTACTTCAAGTTTTAGCTTCACTTGCTTTTCAGCAAACCATTATTTTATTTTATTTTATTTTATTTTTTTGGTGTGTGTGTTTCGGTAAAAAATTTTCTTTGAGACAAGTTTTGGTTTTCTCTTTCCTCTTTCTGATGCTTGTGTGCATTACTAAAATATTACCCCTTCTTTTGCTCTATTTTTGATCAATTAATCCACACCTCCCAACTTGCAAAACTTTTTTGCTCAAAATCTAATGTTTATAATGTCATGTGGGTATCAGACTCAGTAATATAAGTACACAACACAAAAATTAAAATAACACGACATCATGAATGACAGTTTAACAGAATATCTTGTTTGTTTGGTGTTTTGAGAATGTTGGTCCACCTTAATTTTATTCATTCGGGCTTACTTTGGTAGGTGGGTTTATTATCTTCCTATCGTTTGACCACATTTGTAGAGCCGAACAACAAAAACAAGAAACTTTTTTCAGAGAAAAAAAAGAATTTTTTTTGTGTTTTAGGTGTAAAATTCTCTATTAATTAATTAATATAATTTTTTAAATTTCCAATCGTCAATCATTTTATTCTTCTTTAAAATCAAGGAAACACCCATTTGGTATCCATCACCAAGAGCTTGGTGTTTTCAACACGAAAGATCGCTTGCGATGTCTACTTGGAAGGAAGAGTCCACATTAAGTAAACAAAAGAAGAAGAAAAAAAATTTGAGGCTGAAAAATTAATAATGAAAAAGAAATACGGATAAGAACAAAAAATGGTGGCTTATTGTACAAGAGAGGCGAGTGGAGGTGTAGTAGCTAGGAGCCCACTGTGGAGACTTAACATAGTAAAAAGTTTTAAAGGCAAAGCGACAGAAAGTTAGAAAGGGCTGATTTTTGGGATTGTCGCATCCTAAATATAGAAATTTCACCAACTTTTTTATTTGCTCAATGCATGTAATATACTCATTTTGTCTCAAAATTATTGTCTTTTATTGATATTTTTAGTTAAATTAATTTATCTTTAATCATTATTTTTAATAATAAAATAAAATTTAAAAAAAAATTGTAAACTTTGAGTTTTAAATTTTTTAAAACATATTTTTTAAAAATTTTAATTTAATATTATATTTCTAAAAATAAGGTCAAAATAGAATTACTTTAATAAAAAAAATCAATAGGAGATAATTATTTTGAGATATATATATATGGTTGATTTTAAAAAATATATGTTTTTGTTTGTTATTTGAGTTTAAATTCTTTGAAAGAATATAAAAAATAAATTTTTATAAATTCGTTAAATTTTATATAAATAAATTTATTTAAATCAATTTGAAAGAGATGTATAAGATAAAACTTAAAAAATCCCTTATTACTTAATTAAAAGGAAAAAACATAGCTTGGGTTAGGCCTTTATTTAGGCTTAAACATCACAATTTAATCCCGTTATTAGGAATTAATGATGTCCGAATATACCTATGAGATGATCGGTTGGTATTTTAAAGCCTCTCTTTTTCTCTACCAAACTAAACTCGAATGTATCTTGACCTTTTCTATACATGAGAATTATTGTAACTTGATAACAAAGCCATAGCCACCCAATATAACAAAGCAATAACACTTCCAATGGTTGCATTTCCTTCAAAAGCCGGTTCTTTTTGGGTGTCTCACTTTTTCACTCACCATTTTTTCCTTATTCTATTTGTTCCATTGGTTGTTTAATGAAGAAATGAGAGACAGAATGGAAAGATTCGTTATTCTTCCCTTCTCAGTTGGTTGTGTCTGTGAATCAAGTGTGGCTGTAGCTGTGCAGCAGCCTAAAAGATCAAAGCCTGCAGATACCAATTCAACTGCAATAAGTCTCTTTCTCTAATTCCACTTTTTTTTTTCTTTTTTGCTTTCTTAATTTGGTTCTGATTGTTGTATAACTTCTTCGTAGGAACACGAAAGGAAGACGAAGAAAGTTTATCGAGTGATCAAAGCATGAAGCATTCATTGAAATTGCTGCCTCTTCCAAAGCCTGCCATATCAACTGGGTTTCATAGGCTGTTCAAGAGTTTCAAGACTTTATCTCAATTCTTTGGTAATGTCTGAATTACTAGTCATTGCTTTTCTTCTGATGCTAAAGACCAAACGTGCATCCTAATTTGTAATGCGGCCACCATTTAATGGAATTTGTAATAAAAGAGTCATTTTCAACAAGTATATTTTATAGTATGATGAATTAATAATTTTTTTTATATCATAGAATTTATATATTTATGTAATGTAAAACATAAACAATTCATATATTCATATTGTATTTTATACAAAAAATTATGTCTCATAATTTGTGTTGATATAAAAACACGAAATACATTTTTTGTTGTTAAATCCATATGCAATTCTTGTATCACATGTTAAATTACCAGGTTAGCCATGTTCACGATCAATTATCAGGTATGGAATAAACTCCATATGATATGGGAATGCACATCAAAATTTTTCAACACAGTTTAAAATTTAAAAACTTCAGGTACAGAAAACAAACTCTTAAAGTTATTGTCGTATTGAGTTTACAGCCTACAAGGAAGAGATGGAAGAGTCGGAGAAAGATATGCAAATAGGATTCCCAACCGATGTAAAGCATGTGACACACATAGGATTGGATATGGGCAGCTGGGACAACATTCCTTCTCCTCCTCGCTTGTTCACTTTCCCCATGGAAACACAGGCAGAAGCTGGCTCACCTCTTGTTCACGCATCTACTAAGTACAAAAAGGCTTAACAGATCATCGATTGTTACTCAGGTGAAACGAGGATTGTCTTTCAGATAATAGTGAGGTGCTTGCTGATGATAATTAGGTATATTTAAGTGCCAAAAAATGGATAAAATTGTAATGGAATTCTTACTCCCCTTGTTCGTTTTGTAGTTGTTACAAAGCTTCATAGTGGGTGTATAAAGTTTATATGGACTGTTTTTAGTTATCTAGTTTGTCTATTTTCTTTTAAACTATAAATGATCAGGGCTATTTAGCCATATGATATATTGGTATAATGTTAAATTTTTAATTTTAATAATCAAAATTTAAAATTTTATGTATTCAAAAAAAAAAGATGAAAAAATGCATGGATCTTAATTTTTATTTCTTGTTATCATCTGATCTACATTGGCATTCAATTGCTTGCTGTATATGTTACGGACTCCGACTTTATACTCAGAATCCGTGCAGCTTTAGGCTTGGAATCTACTCTTTTATACCTAAATCAGGCTAAAACATAAATGTGCAGACACTAGAACAATAAAAAGGGCTGATTACGCAAGTTAAAGAGAAACAAGATAACAAGACAGAATGCTGAAATATGATGTATATTCACTTAAACAAAAGTGTTTGATGGTGTGAACCCTTTTATACCTTAATGACCCTCTTATTATGTTCGATGTGAGATTCATGACTCCTCCTTAAATCCGTAACATATACGTGTAAATAATTCCACATAATCATTCAGGTGGCTGTAAAAAACAGCATATAATCTTTTCAACTTTGGTTGATTTTTCTGCATCCAAGGTTTTCAAAATTGCTAGCCTAGCGGGGTAAAAGTAACACTTATAATTATTACTTCAACTTTGCCTATTAGTGAAGATTAAAATCAAAAAAGAAAAAAATCATACTATGAATTTCAGATACTCATATATATGGAGAAAAGGAAATATATTGTGGCTAATTATCTGCATTTTTTTTTTTTTGCTGAGATATTATAGTTTGCTAATTATAAATTCATTGTACTTTAAAAAAAAAAGGAAAAATAATTAGTGGAATTCTTTGATTCCTCCTTTTTCCCCTTAGTGCTCGTCTGGAATGCCGATTGCACAGGAACGACTTGGATCACCTTTTTGTCCATATCGTAGTATTATGATATTTGGATAATACCATAGCCTTCAGTTTTTCACTGGAGCTGAGAGGTCCCCTGATAATTCTCCTTTTTTTTTTTTATTGCACTCTTCCTTTCACTTTTGTCCAAGTCCTACCGTTTGTCTCTTTTTTTTATTTTTTTTATAGTAATTGGACAAAAAGATCCATGACATTTTAACCTTTTTTTTTTCATTTTTTTCTTTTCATTTTGATTTTTTATTTAAAGAATTGAAATAACTGTTGATTTTATTATATAATAAATAAATTAATAAATGAAATAATATGTATTAATATTTTAATTGAATAAAAATTTAAAAATTTTAAATGTTATAAATAATATTAAAATATATATATATATAAATAATTGCAAATATATTTATAGAGTAACATTTTAATAATTATTTTTTATTCCCATCTCATTATTACTTTCAATCTCACTGTTATCAAATCTAATTTTACTATCCATCCAAATGCACGTATTATCCGTTCAAATTCAATTAATGGCTATGCGTTAATTTGTGAGTTTTTATATTATTCTTTCAGTATTCAGGTGAAACTAATGCTACTGACAACGGCACACAGAATCCCAGGAAAGGCACTGAAAATATAAGAATGGACAAGTTGTTGACTAGCTCTGCTTTTATTCTTTGTGCCAACTAGTCAGAGAGCTTGGCCAAAAAAAAAAAAAAAACCTAGTCAATGCTGCACTTACCAGTTTTCTAAATGGGTATCAAGATGAATGCCATGATGGAACCGAACCATCTGGTCTTCTTGATGTTGATTCCGGCTGTGGACTTCAAGGTATCAAAATTCTTTCCAAGATTTTAATCTTCATGCTTGAGGAGGGAGATCATATTTTTCGAGGAATATGGGGAATGCCATGTTCAAGTTTCATATTGGATTTGAATAATGTTATATGCATTTATAATTTTAAGATATCTAATTAAAATTATCTTAATATTTTATTATAAATTTTATTTTATTTATTGTTTAAAATTATTTTAAGATAATATTTATTTATTAATTTATCTTTTAAAATTATTTATTAAACGATAATAATTATTTATATTTTTCATTATCACTTAATATTTGATTGCTTATATAAAAACCATCTCATATCTATAATGATTTGAAGTTAAATCAAATAAAATTTTAAAAATTAATATTTTTTGAAAACTTTTTTTATTCTTTTTACTTTTTAACATCGTACATAACAAATAATACCTCAAAAGGGATATATAGCTATGAAGCCACTTATCAAGTCTTATTTGAGAAGTACACTATTTCTCCTCAATCAAGTTACTGATTCTGAGATACTTGCCTTCTCCTTCTATAATATTATCAAAGTTAAGGATCGTTAAGTTACTGATTATAAGGAAAGAAAGGTTCGAATCTCATTGTCACCAGTAATTTTTTTAATATACAACTATGAATTTAATATATATTTTTTTAAAACATATAATTTGGTTTGAACTTAAAATGAAAAACCTCTTATCACCTTAAACTTTTTTTGTTTTTCCCTCCCAAAAAATCATTTAAAAGAGATAAGGACTACTAAGTCTGAATTGTTATAAATGGCATCTTATAAAGCAAAAAAAAAAAATTCTACCATGTCAGGACGAATTTAATTAACCGAAACGTATTAATATCAAATGTGCACATTAATTTTCAGTTGTCTTTACATGTAGCAACATAATTTAGGAAGAGAACTATAAAGCAAAAGAAAGAGAAGAAAAAGGCTACTTGAAGTAGTAAGGAAGGTTTAAGACATAAAGGAGGAAGTAGGCCCAAATGACACCAGAAATTCCTCCAAAGAAAAATCCTCCGGTGAAACTAGCCCATCCATCCGCTGTTTGGAGCTGATCTGGCTCCTTCTTCCGCCCAGTCAAGGTTAAAGAAGGAGCAGTGGGTGGCTCTCCTTCCTTGAATGATGCCACGCCATACATTGTCGTGCAAATGCTTAATATAACCACAAGGCCAGCAGCTTCCGGACTTCCTGCTCCTCCAGCCACAGGGGTGTTCCTCAAAGGCCCTGTTTTAACCAAATGGTCCTACAAGAAGGAACCCATGAGCCAGGCCTACCTCAATCCCCTCACAAGCGGGCTCACTGTTGTCCTGTAAGCTGGAAGGTTGGACAGGTACCAAGCAATCAATGGGCTTGACGTGATTGGGGTTTCTAGGCGTCCAATAAATGGGTCACCATTGATAGGCTGAATCACTTGGTAAGTTGGCTGCAAATAAAATTTTTAATATGATCATATCGCATGGTATAAGCTATGATCAATAAAAAATGAGCATGAACCTTAGTTTTTCATATGGGAAAATCATCTTTTTCAAGAAAAAAAATGGAGGTCAAAATTCACCTCCTCAATTAAATCATATATTTTGGTAATGAAGTAAAATATAAAAACATAAAATTGTGTCGGCACCTTTGTTTAGACTTAACAATATTTTAATATTTAATGGCCACCCACATGCTTATTGCTCGTACACCTAGCTTGACTTCTCACTTTCCGGCACATTTTGCCCAAAGAAATGGAATTTGGAGGCTGCCCCACCGTTCTAGCCTTCTTTTTCATGAAAGATTATATTTTTACTTCTAAGTGTATTTCTCTTCCTTGAATCTCATAATCTGTAGTCAAATTTTTCATCATTATATTCGACAAATACACGTTGTATAGCTTTATTATCAAGTTTTAATCTCTGCTTTTTTGACACATGAAGAATGTTTTACACCTAAAAACCTTCAAGTGAGAGTATAAAATATCTTTCTAATCCACACTCTTTTTGAAATGTTAAAGCCCAAAGAAACTAAAGGTGATCTATCTATTAAGCAAATAACAGGTTGTGTTGATTACTTTATCCCATAATGACTTTTGTAATTTTGTCATCTTTAGCATACATTTAACTTTTTTCACAATGGTGCAGTTCATCCTTTTAACTACACCATTATGCTATGGTATTTCAAGTTTTGTCATCTCATACTTGATCTCATACTTTCAACAGTATTCTTCAAAATCTTTCGATGTGTATTTTTCATAATTATTAGTCCGAATACATTTAAAGGACAACCATGTCATCTTTTTCACCATGACATGAAATTTTTAAACATACTATAATACTTGACTTTTATTTTTTTTAACATATCCTTCTAAATCTTACGTGAAGTATTATTAATAAAAATAACAAAATACCTACTACCACCTAATGACTTAACCTCAATGAGACCACATACATAAAAATGAATAAATTCTAATATATTTTCTTTTCTTTGATAATGCTTACGAAAAAAAATTTTACGATGTTTATCACGTAAAGAATGATCACATAAATCGAAAGACATACTTTTAGTCAAAAAAATGATAGATTGCCTTACCAGAACTTGTAACTCCTTCTCGTTCATATGTGCTAGTCTTTTATGTCACAAATTTGCTAAAACATCAATAGTATTTATTTGGGTGCTGTTATATTGCATCCATGTCTTATTCATTGTGCAACATAATTTTTCTCTTACAACTATCATAGATATTTTTAGAAGTTTCCACTATCATTTTGACTCTCATATCCTTCCTTATCAAAGACATTAATCACAAGCAAGTTTATTTTTATATCTGAAATATGTCTAACATCCTTCAAAGTCAAAATAGAGTCTATACTAGTTTGTACAACAATATCATCGATCTCAATAATCTATAACACACTCTTATTTCTCATTTTGGTACAACCAAAGTCTCATGCTTTATAAGTTTTAAAAACTCCTTCTTAAGAACACAATGATATGTTATTCCTGTGTCAACTATCCACTCAATACCAAATCATCAACATGATTACAATCGTCATATGTATAAATCAAAGTAATTGAATCACTATATAAATTTATTGCTACAATATTACCATTATCTAAATTCTTGCCTTTTCTCATTTTTTTGCTCTTGCTTCAAAATTTTATAATTTCATTTTATATGATCAAGTTTACCACAATAATAGCACTTCACTTTACCTATAGACTTGGATCAATATTTAGATTTACTATGACTTTTTGAGTTCTGACTTTTGTTTATGTTTCTACCCCTATGTTCTGTCACAAGAACTTGATTCTCAAAGTCTGAA